TATATATATATATATATATATGAAAAACTGACAATAGCCTAGTGTCTAATGATAAGAAAATAGATTTTTTTTAAAGTGTGTGGTTTTTTGGGATGGAATGTTATACAGCTATTGATTTTTCTTTCGTTCTTCATGGTCCTTTGTTGTTGAAGAAATGAGGTTGTTTGTCTCTGTAGATCGGGCAGACATCTGGTGTTGGCTGGCTACTTCCGCAGAGTTTCTTTCCCCTTTCCCCATATTTCTGTTGAAGTGGTAGAATGAGAGGCTTGATTAGATTCAGGTATTTTTTTTTTCTCTGACAAAGCCACAGGTGGTCTTGTGTACTTCCTGTTGTGTCACATCAGGAATGTTCAGGGATGCTGAGATTGACCAGTGGATTGCATCATGGCAGCATGCTCCTCCATTAAACCTTCCCTGTAAACCGTTCTCTAGTGGTTGGGCAGCCCTGATGCTCGTTGCTAACATCCATTATTTCATTAAGGGTCCCACAACAATAATTTTCTAATTCTGTCATTCCTTCTGCATTTGTTAGCTGTGAATCCTATTTAAATAAGCTTACCTCATCAGCTATTTGACTACTCTGAAATATAGTCCACACAGGAAAAGAGGGATAAATGCTTGATTTTTTCCTTTTCATTAATTTTCAGAAAATGATTTGATACCCTAGCAATTACTCTGAAATACAGTCCATACAGGAAAGGAGGGGTAATGTTCAATTTTCCTCTCCTACTAATTTTCAGAATAATGATTTGATGTCTTAGCAATTCTTCAAAGGTGACTGATGAGCTTAAAAAATATATCATTAGCTCTTGGATTTATACATATTTGATGTGTTTCAGTGCATTGCAATCATTTCTTTTTTGATGGTCAAATTTTCTCATTTTTGGTCAGTAAGAGTCTTCAAGTTGGCATCTGTTAACTTGAATTTATGGATTGATGTTGTTTGTTGTTCAGTTTTGAAATATTTTTCCACTATTACTTCTTTAATCATTCCTTCTGAACATTTTTTCTATCTGCAACTGTAGCTAAAATATTTTCGATTTTATAACGCTGGGTCCTCTGTATCTCTTTTCCGATTTTCCATTTTTTTTCTGTGTAGCTTCATTACTCAGCATAATTATTTTGAGATACTTCCATGTTGTTGCACATATCAGTAGTTCTTTTTTTATTGCTGTTAGCATTCCTTTTGATGGATGTGCCACGATGATTTGTTATCTGTTCACCTGCTGATGGGCATCTGGGTTGTTTATAGTTTGTGGCTGTAATGAATATAGTATGAACAATTGTGTACAAGTTTTTCTGTCGACATAGTTTTCATTTCTCTGGGAAAAATGCCCTACATTGTTGTTGTTGGGTTATACAATAAGTACTTATTTTTTCCAAAGCTAACTATTTTCCAGAGTAGCCAAGCCATTTTATATTCCCACCAGCAATATCTGTCTTTTAATTGGTGTATTTAGACCATTTATATTTAATGTAATTTTTGATATGTTAGGGATAAGCCTGCCAGTTCATTTTATATGCTCTCTGGTTTAGTATCTCAGAGAGTAAACCTTCTGTTTTCAGCTTAGGTGTGGAAAGGGCCTTCACCTAGACGTTCAGCGAGTCTTCCTGTGTTCAGCCTACCTGCAGTGTTACTTGCAGAGGTGCCTCCTCCCCGCGTTCCTACCGCCTGACTTGCCTTGCCTCCTGACTCCCTGAGCTCTCTGCTCCTCTGTGCCGCTAAGCCCACCAGTCACACACTTTCCCACTCCCAGAATCGTGTTGGTGTCTCCCACCTGGCTCATCTATCTACTCTCCTTTCCATCCTGTGTTTATGCCTCTAAAACAGCCTTTACTGTTATTTCAGAGGGATTAGGGAAGGAGAAGAGAGGTAAATACCAATGTTAATCCTGAATGCTGTACAAAATTGTGTTTTTAAGATAATCCTTTCTGGTACATTTTCTTCAAGTGTTGTATTGATATAAATCCACATTAAAGTATATATAGCTGTAATTATAGGCCGTTATGGTTTGATTAGTTGTTTTGTTTTGTTTTACAGGACTTTAAAATGATAAATAAAGAATTAACAGCAACCAAATTTGTAGAGGTCATAGCAGAGGACAATCCTTTCATATATGATGGAATTGACAGCAACTTTGAACTTGAGGTTTGTAAAGAGGTGACACAAATGGTATAGATCCAATTCAGGCTGTTTGTTTCGGCTTGGATACCAAGACCCAAAATTTGATTGAAAAGAATTTAGTCTCAATACATAAAACTACATATTTATGTCCATGATCGTATTGGAAAACTAGAGATTAATATTAAAAAGAATACTTCAGATGTCAGGAGATGAACAAAGTCAAAAGAATATAAAACTACAATACTATTTCATCGGGATAATTTATTTAGTAACTAAATACATGTATGTTTCTGTGGTACACATGTCAGATACCCAAAGACACTAATTGCTCTACTCCTCCAATGAATTAGATATAAGTGTCTTTCATTTTTAGCATTTCTTGCAGCAGGCAAATGACTCATTTACCAGCTAGACCCACCTTTGGGCAGGTCTCAGGAAACTGTTAGACCAGGGACACTGGCACTATGGGGCTGCTGAGCAGACCCCTGGCAGCAGGCAGCAGCCGGCCCAGAGCCTCTGGTCAAATTAGCGGCCAGTTCCAGCTCAGACTCAAAGGGCCCTGGGTTCAGGATAGACAGACATGACAGGTGGATGGTCAAAGTCTGAGCAAGCCAGCTCCACGGGCAGGCAGTCCCCAGGCCCATGTGTCGGGGCCATGGAGGGTCGGGGGACACGCCTGCTCAGTGGTTGACACTGGCACTTGTCACTTGGGTTTACAGGGGCCACTTTCCTAGTTTAAGAAAAAAGGCAACACTTTGGGAAATGACTGTCCTCAGTTAACTAACATAAAACGTTTCCATCAAAACAGAAAGATGACTTACAAATCTAATGATAGAACGTATCATGATAGATCTTTTAAGTGTTGTAGATTTTATTGCAAACTGGTGTTCACCCAGGACACGATGCTTAAGCACTGAAGAGGTGGTATTCTCTGGAGAGTAGAAACGAACACCAAGATGAAGCATGGACTGACCTAGAGATGTGTTAGAATGAATAAGACTGTATTTTCTTATATTTCAGCTGGTTTTCCTGGAATTCTTTGAAGCTCTCTTAAGCTTCGCATTCATCTCTGTTACTGACCAAATGACTAAATCCTGTTTAAATTTTCCAAATGATGACTCGTGTGGAAACAGACATGGCAGCGCTTATACGGTAACAAATCAGGTAACAAGTAATAGCTTAGAATTTATAGAGCAAGGAATGGTTTTCACATGGAATGGTTATATCGTCATCAAAACTCTCTTGGGCTTTTGTAACCCTTCAGGAAATAATTGAAGACTTCTTTTCGCATTTTCGTTTTGTTTTTTTTTTAATGTTAGGGAAAGTGTATTTCCTGGTCCTGAGCCAGGAAATAGACTCCTAGCCAACAGTGGAGATCCTATAATGTAGGTCAGAGTGCCTGCCAGCACCCTGGGCAGACCATGAGCTTAGAACACCTGAGTGTTTTGTTATGAAATGTTTCGTGATGTGATCTAGTGTTCGCAAGGGTGGAAAGCCTGTCCCAGAGCGAATCATTTGGGTTTGCCAAGGGACAGCTCCTATGTGTGCACAAGAGGCTCGGTGGGTCCCTGAGGACGGGGCCTGCCCACTGGGTGAGGCACTAGGCTTCCCCGCGAGACCTCGGAGAGCAGGGGCAGTGCCAGTGCCAGTGTAGACTGAGGATCCGGCCACTAGGGCAGCCAAGACACCGCAGTTTTGAGTGGGGGTTTCAGGTTAGCGGGTCTGAAGGGTTTCTGATTTGGAGCCACAGGGGGTGTGTTGGGGCCAGCAGAAGCCCGCAGCTGGGAAGCTCCTCAGAGCTGCTCCTATAGCAGCCTCCTGACTGTCTAAGGAGAGACTCTTATCATGAAGCCCTGGGCTCCTCGTGTGCTTCTGTGTTCAATTTCAGCCCCTCCCAGTCCACTCCATCAGCCAGATATGGCTCCTCCCATTAGAGGAGATGACTGATAGCTTCTCTAGGTCATCTGGGAGCCTGGTCCCTGGCCAGCCTGGCTGTGGGACTCTGCTCTGAGGGAAATGAGTGTCCACCTTAACTTCATCTGTGATTTTAGGGATGGCAACACCACGGACTCCAGTAGCTGAGTGTGAACACTCTGGTCTAGAGACCCTCCTCAGAAACCATCCAATCAAGTTCACGTCTGGCTTTCAACGAGGCCTTCCAAATGTCCTTGAGATAAACAAGTCATATAATAGCTGTACACTGGAGTATGACTTAGCAATGAAATGGCTCATGATATATGCAGCGGCGTGTATGAATTAAACATCACACTGGGCGAGAGAAGCCAGACAGAACAGGGCATGTACTAGCGTGGTTCCAATCACACACAATTCCACAAGGTGCAGAGTAACCTGTAGGGACAGAAAGCAGCCAGTGTTTGCCGGAGGAGGGGGAGAGGGACTACCGAGTGGCACAGGGAGTTTTGGGGGGCAATGGGCATGTTCCCCATCTTCACTGAGGTGATGGTTTCACAGGTGCAGATGAATCTCATCAAATAGTGTACTTTATGTGTAGTTTACTGTAAGTTATACTTCGTTACAATCATGCACGTGTGTGTATCTCCATGGAAACCAGCATGCTCTTATGTTTGTCTTTCTTGAACACCCAGCACAGGAGTCCCAGCACGGTCACCAGCCAGGGATCTGACAGGCACAATGGCAGTGCCAAATCATCTTCAAGCAAGTTAGCACTCTTGTTTGATTTTAGCAAAATCAGGAAATCAGAGGTTTGTAATTACAACGCGCCACGTAAAGAGTACACGGTTGTAGTGACAAGCATTGCTCGTGCCTACTATGTGACGAGCGCTCTTCTATGTGCCTGGGTCTAGCGGTGAACACACAACTCATCATTGGGGACCACATGCTAGTGAGGCGGGGAGATGGTAACAGGTGAACAACAGGAGAGGCTAACACTCCGGGGGTGTTTACCAGGGCCACGCACCTCCTGGGCATTAGCTCACATGATGCCCCAAACAAGCTTTGGACACTCATATGCCCTCTAGGAGGGACCTGAGGCACAAGGTAATGGCATGCCCATAGCTGCAGAGCTAGTAAGCAGAGGAGCTGGGCAACCATGGCTCCATACTTTGCACGCCGGCCAATGCCACACGTCCTCACGTTTCTGAAGAAGTGACAGGATGACAAGTGGGCGGTGGAGGGTGGGTGACAGGCCGGGGAGTTAGGGAGGGCCTCCTGAGGAAGGGACATTTGAGCGTACCTAAAGGAAGTGAGGAAGCAGCCATGTAACTGTCTGGAGGAAACTGTTCTGGAAGTCCCGAGGTGGGGGCATGTTTGGGTTGTTGAGAGAACAGTGTAGCAGTGAGGGGTAGCCAGGCCGACGTGGCTGGGGAAGACGCAGCCCGGCCTGGAGGGCATCTTGCCCGGTGAGGGTCTGGCGTTTATTCTGAGGTGGGAGGTGGGAGGGAGGCCCCTGAGCAGAGGGGCGAGGCTCACTATGGCCTCACTGCTGACCAACCGGTCAGGAAGCGCTGGGAATTAGCTAAAGGTATTTTGAAGGCTGTGGCGTTTGACGGGGGAAGAGAAGGCAAAGGTGATTCCAGGATTTGGGGCCTAAAGAACAGAGCTACTGTTTACTGTGAAGGGGAAGACGAGGGTGGGGGGAGGTGAGTTTGGGGGCAAAAGTAAGGTGTTGGTTTTGGACATATTAGGCTTAAGGTGCCTGATTAGACATCCAAGTAGTGACAGCAAGTGGCAAGCCAACACACAAGCCTGGAGTTGAAGGGTGAGATTTAGCTGGAGACAGAAATGTGGGCGTATACCACGTATTTATGGTAATGAAGCTATTAACATGAATGTACATGTATAATAAATACTTTCTCAGATCTTTGGTTTCTTGGGGAGGAGCCTTTCGGTAGACAATCACTGTTATTCATTTCCTTAGTATAAATATCAATATTTTATACAGGCTAAAAATAGTCAAATTAGCTTAAAGAAAATAGCCTCATTAACAATCTAATTATTCTTAATGTAGAAAATGAGTTTTAGTCTGTCATGATGCAAAGATAATATTTTGCTTTATTGTTTTCAACATTAAAGCCCAAGATGAGGAAGGCGCCAAGTGATGAAAGAATTTCCAAAGTGAATTTTAAATCTCCAGGAAAAGAACTAACCTTTTTTTTATCTCAAAATGGTGAGTATCTAATTCTTACAAACTGTTGCTTATAAATGACAGTTTATAAAAATGTACAACCACCTTTAAAAAAAAAAATAGGCTGCTATTGCTGCTTCCAATTCTGTCTCCTGGCTTGACAGATTCACTTTCAGGGCACGATCTTACTGAGTTGGGTTTTTTTGGAGGGGTTTCCTTCCAGTTTTATTGAGAGGTAACTGACTTGCAGTGCTGTATGGACAACATGACTTATATCATGAAATGACTGCTTTGTGATGGGGACTCTTAGGATGTACACTCTTAACAACTTTCATATTTACCATTCAGCACTTAACTGTTGTATCTTATTGATGGATTGACTCCTTTATCATTATATGACCTCTGCCTCTTTTTACCATTTTTAGTTTAAATTCTATTTTGTCTGACATTAGTTAGAGATACCCTGGCTTCTTTTTGGTTTACCATTTGCTTGAAGTATCACTGTCAATCTGTGTGTCTTTAAGGCTGAAGTGAGTTCTCATAGGCAGCATTGTGGGATCTTGTCTTTTTATCCATACAGCCATTATGTGTCTTTTGATTAGGGAATTTAATCCATTTACATTTAATTATTGATAGGTAAGGGCTTGAAATTGGTTTTGTTCATTGTTTTCTGGCTGTTCTGTACATCCATTTGTCCTTGTTACTTATCCTGCTGTTTTTTTTCATGTTTTGATGTCTTTTGGTATCAGTATGCTTTGACTTTTTAATGTTCTTTTGTGTTATTACCACAGGTTTTTCCCTTGCAGTTACCATAAGGCTTACATAAAATAGCTTAAAATTCTAACACCTTATTTTAAACTGATAACTTCAACAGAATGCCTAAACTTTACACTTAGTTATTCTGCCCCTCACACTTCAGGTTATTGATGTTGCTACATTTATATTTTTATATATATATTTTATATTGTGTAACTAATAACAGATTACTATAATTGTGGTTATTTTTACTATGCTTTTTAACTTTTGAACTAGAGATGCAAGTGAATTACACACCACCATTACTATATTATGGAATCTAATTTTGTGTATAACCATCACCAGTGAGTTTTACACTATCTTCTTACGTTTTTATGATGTTAAGTAGCATCTTTTTACTTCCACTCAAAGAATTCCCTTTAGCATTCCCCTGAGGAAACTGGAGTGGGGGCTCCCAAGAAGTAACCACAATGTTGGGGGGCTGCTGTCCACCCTGGGCTCTCTTTTTCTCCTGGGGGAAACTGTGGGCTCAGGGGAGACCTCTTGGCGTGGTGCGGTGCGGCCTGGGAGAGGGGCGGTGTGGTCAGTGTGTAGCTGCCCCGCTTTTCAATGTGGTCTGTCTTGTTCTCTGCGGTGCAGAGGGGTGCTTCAGCCTCACCCCCAGGGCCTAGGAATCTCTCAGTGGTGTCTTGTCCATGAATAGTTCGTTGGTTCTTCTTGTGAGGGGAGGTGAAGAATGACCTATGTCACCATGTTGGTGATGACATTTCTCTTGGAGTTCCCTTTCAAGGCATGATCTTACTGAGCTGAATCAGTCTGTCAGGACAGCTGTCCCGCCACGTGGGCCCCACACATCCATCTCCCAAGCCTGTTACATTGACTATATCCTTACACAGTCAACTTCTCTTTCTCTGGAGTCTCACTTTGGTTTTTAAAGATGCTCAAGTTAAAAACAACAACAAATAAACCCTATTCAAGTCCTCATATTCCTTTTAATATTCTCCTTTTCCCTAGTAAAATCCCTCTAGCATTCTGTCTGCTGATTCCATTTCCTGAGCTCTCAGTTGATGCCTCAGCCCTGTCCGCACTGGCTTCCAGTTTCACCCCTCTCCTGCTGGGCTCAGCCAGTGCCTCAGGGTTGTCTTATGCAAGAAGAAGCAGGGGTGTTGATTTGAAAAGTACAGTATCTTCCAACTACGTGGAAATTAAAAGCAAAAACAAACAAGAAGCCCCACCATAAGTGAAGTCCTCTATTCTAAATAATTCTTAGAGAAATCAAATTGCGTTTCTGAGAATACTTAGAAAACTGAAATACCTTAAATATTACCTACGAGATATGGTCAAAATTATAACCAGAGAAAATTTATATAGTATTAAATGTTTTCAATGTTAAACAAGCAAGTATAGTAACCCAGACATTCACCCCAGAAGGGTAGAAGGAAAGAATTAAAATACAAGGAGAGCAGGACGAAGGCATTAAAAAAAATAAACTCACAAAAATAGTACTAAAAATGATCATTGTAAAAGCTGATTCATTGGGCTGGCCGAGTGGCACATTGGTTAGGAGTTAGCTTGGGACACCAGCTTTGAGCAGCAGGGCCCGGTTCAAATCCCACATGAGGGCCAGTGACGCTGCGCTCTCTACAGCTAAGATGGTGAACAACAGCTCCACCTGGAGCTGGGCTGCCGTGAGTCCCGGCGATGGCGTAGGCTGCAGTGGGGCTGGCTGACAGTGGGCGTGAGCTTTCATGAGCTGCTGTGAGCCGCCGTCCAGTGGCCGGCAACCGATCTGCCTCACCCGGGATGAGCGCAATGATAATACCAACATGGGCCAGTGAAGCGACGTCCTCCACAACTAGACTGAAGAACAAAAGGACAGCAACTTGTCTATTCCCCTTTCCCAATTCCCCAATAAAATCTTAAAAAAAAAAAAAGCTGATTCTTTAAGTAAAAAGATAAAATAGGTATCCTCAACCTAGTATAGTCAGAATAAAAGTGATAAACACATATATACTAACTAGGAAGGAAAAAGTAACCAGATAAGATTTTTCTAAGTATAATAAGAGAATGTTATATATACACTGCTAATCTAATAAATTGAAAATTTTGAAATTATTTATCTAGGAAGATATTAATAACAAAAGTAGACTCGAGAAAATATAGAAAATCTGAATAATCATGGGAGAAAAAAGTAAAAAAAAATTATTCCCCCAAATTTAGTTTTATGAGCAAGTTCATTAAAAAGTTTAAGGAAGCACTAATATAAGAATTATTCTTATATATTTTTAAAATCCAAAGCATAAAATAAGATAAACCTTTCAGTTCATTTAACATTAGTATAACCAAGATATGAAAACTTGGTAACAAAAAAATGAAAATAACAGACCAACTGTTTCTCAACTGAGACGTGAAAACCACCCAGAGAGAGAATTCTGGGAAGATGGAGATGGAACTGGTGTAGGTTTTCGCATCTCCCTAGATTCCCCCATAAAGACAGTACAGCAAAACCAAAAAACCCAAAATTACACATACAGCCTTATTCTATGACAAGGTGTCACTGTGACAGCAAAAAACAGTAGCTAGGGACCAAGCACCCACTGCTATGAACCGGCATGGAGTTAGAATGTAAACAGGATGCAAAGGAAAGTACTTCCCTTCTTATTCAATTCAGAGTTAAAATCCTCTTTTAACTATTTCCATAATGAAAACTGCCTTTAAAACAATGTAAGCAAAAAACAAGGTTTCTTCCCTTGAAACATGGAAGTGTTGCAAATTTTCTAAAAGTTTAATTTTAGAAAAGCAAAAACGATTTACAACAAAAGTACCGGTATCAGGAGACTCACAGGCAGTGCTGCCAATCATAGCTGTGCTCTACTGCCACCCAGGTAGTCACTGCAGCATTCCAGCCACAGGGACCCTTGTGGCCTGAGGAGCCGTGTCTCCCCATCTCCCGGGGTACGAGGAACCACGGGAAGTGGCAGAACAGGAATATGAACACACACACTCGCAAATTACTGCAGAACTGTATGAATGCTCATTTTAATGAAACTTTCTTCCAGAGAAAAAAGAAAAATCCAAGGAGGAAGGGAATGAAAAGCTCAACATGTGGGTCAGTAATATGTGTATCTTTTTTGTGAACACATTCTTCCAAGCACACAAACATGAAGAAATTCTCAAGGAGAAAGTAAAGGAAAATAGGTTACATCTTGCAGCGATGGCCAAACAGAGGACGATTGAAAATGAGGAACTGGAAGCAAGGTAACTTAATAAGGCCTCTCGGCTCCGTTTCTCCTGCATGAGCTCAGTTCTCTCTCTCTCCTGTTGTCTGGAGCTGCCAGAAGCTTCAGAACCAAATGCCTTCATTAAAAGGATCCAACTTCCTAAGGGTGGCGTGTCCTCATGTGGTACCAAGAATCTGTAGCTGCCCGGAAGAATCCTGCCTGTGGGCCACCTGCCTGGTTGTCTAAGGTGGTGATGACGTCTGTGTCCCAAGCCTCCCATGACGAGGCACTGTGACGGAGTGGCTGAGTGGCCACAGATCTAGACTGCCCAGGTTTAAATCCCAGCCCCACTATTAAACACTTGGCTGACCTTGGGCAGGGTCCATCACTCTGTGCCTCAGTTTCCTCATCTGGAAGCTGGAGATAACCCCCCAAAGGACTGTTGTGAGGATGGCGTAAGCTAATGTTTGCAAGGCACCTAGAACCAGGCCTGGCACATGGTGAGCACCCAGTCAGGGCTGCACTTACCTTTCTAGAACCACCATCCGGGCTCAGTTCTATACAGACATGTTAGTTCTGAGTGCAAATGCCTGCTTTTTGTAACATGCATCTCCAGCCTGCTGGTCTGTTGAAGAAAGCATTAAATTGTACTTAAGGAAAAAGACTAAGGAGGATGTAAAAAGGCTACTTACTAGCTGCTAAGTTGCTACAGAGAGAAGTGGTTCACAAGTCACTTTAGTCATATGAAAATTTCGCTTTCGATTGTTTAGATATGGCATCACTTTTTATTTCAGGCAAAGGGAGGGTAATTTACAGTCTTGTTTACAAAAACTGTTGAAATCCAGGTATGGAGTACTTTACACCATACACAGCAGAAAAACTGGTTTTGAAAATACAAAGCAAAAATACCTTCTTGTGTTTGCTTCTTGTGTTAGGCTGGATAGCTTGAGAGAGGAAGAGGTCAAAAGACTAGACTACGAGGTCGACATCACTGTGATTAAGGGACCGGTGGACACCCCATCCTCGCATTTCATGTCAAGCCCCCCGAAAGAGGAAACAGTGGTGTTCCAATCCAAACCCATCTCGAGTAAGAAAAAGAAAAAGTAGAGGTCAAGGGATTTGTAAGTAAACTCCAAGGACAAGCCAATGTAGAAGGCGTTTAGAACCGAAGCACTGTAACAATTTCCTGACAGTAAAATCGTTCGTGTTTGACTTCTTGTCTTAGTGTTTTTGAAATACCACCTCCTGTGTTTCCGGTTTCTTCTAAGGTTGGCTCACTGAAATGCCTGCGTTTTGAAGACTGAGCTGAATGAAAACACATGTATGTGGGTATTCGGTGAGTGTGCTTTCAATATGATTTTTAAAAAGTCCAAGTAAAGTACGGGTGATTAAGTTTAGGCTCTGATAAAACTGATCAGAAAGCCATGGGGAGAGGATGAAGCTATTTAAACATTTCTCTGGGTCCCTCTCCCCGCAAACAGCTCCTTTGTCCTTGTACCCGCCCTGTATCCAAGTCCTACCTGTCCTTTACCTGCGCCTCTGATGTGGCTCCTTCCCTGGTTCCATCCCACCGAGTCCCACGGCCCTGCAGACAATACTGCAGAATCAAAGGCCAAGAACAGCAGCCGGAGCGCAGTCGGCGGTGCAGTGAACACTGTCTGCCTGTTAGAATGTATTAGAGCTAATAATCTGTGTGAAAATTTAAGAGTAACCACAAAAGGCATAAAAATACAATCGGCAGCTTCCATACTAGCAGAAGGAAGGGAACTCATCCAACATAAGCCTGGGAAACAGGAAAACAACAAGAAAAAGGATGGAAACAGAAAACAAAAGCTGGTGGGGAAAAGTGCAAAGATACTGCGATCACCAACGTAACAGGTTAAACTCACCCCTCGCCCCACCCCCAGGACAGACTGGATTAAAAAATCAAGATTCACTTCAATGTGACTCTTTACAAAGGAAACACTTTCAAGAAAACCATACAGAAAGGAAGAAAATTAAGATATGGATTAAGGTATACAAGGAAAATCTAATCAAGATGACCAGAATAGCAAGCGTATCAAAGGCAGATGGAACAAAATTTAAAGCAAACATCTCCATAATACAGGTCAAAATTAATAAAAGGACCAAGAAGCACAGATGCATGACTCGTGTACATCTTACATACTAACCTTGCAAAAGCTGACAGGACAGAAGAAAACTGTAACGATGGAAGAAACAGATCAGGAAGACCAACATGTAGGAAGAATATAGACAATTTAAGGGACTCAACTATGTCTGAACTAACATAGTTAGAAACCAGAATGTAACAGACAATAAACACTGGCTACATTTTAGGTTGAAAAGTGCAACAATTCCAAATGATACATCAGAGACCACGATGATCGAGATTACTGAGACAGCAGTGAACGCACACCATCAAGAAAGCCTAACATCATTGGAAACTAACACAGTCTTATGTGACTCCTGGCTCAAGAGGAAATCAGAGTGGAAACTGAATTGTGTAAGACGGTGACAAGGAAAATACTACTCATTGATGAGAAGTCCTTCGTGTCTCCTCCCTAACTCAGCAGCTCACACAGGCCAGGCGAAGGCGACCTGGGGAGCCCATGAGGGCCGGGGTAGCACCAGTGTCCCCAGACCATGCCTGGCTAGTTTCTACCCAAACTCTGGGCTGTCCAGACCACTAGAAGGTAGGTTAAGTTAAATAAAATTCAGCCAGGCTCCGCCTCAGCTGTGAACCTGCATGCAGAGTGTGGCTGCTGGGACTTCTACACGACAAGTGGAGAATGCTTTGTGTTTAGACCACACTGGGCACTTTCATTAAGTTCTCTGTGTTATTATACGTGGTGTAAACATCACGTTAGTATTCAAGAGAAAACCTGAGTCTAGCAATTAATTACTTCGTGCGAATCCCTTAGTTCACCGCTTCAGGTTGAGTGACCAAGGAAGGGACCCCAACTCTGAGAAGCTCTAGCTGCTGGAATACCCCGAGGACGAGCCAGGGACCCACTGGCCAGCGGTTTACAATCAGGCAACGGGACAGAGACTCAATGCAAAGCCAGGATTTTAAAAACTCTTAACAATTTATTAGTCTGATTTTTCTGGTAAAATATTCACATAATGTCAAAAGAATGGAATGACAGAGATGTAACCGACTACCTTGGATTAATTCCACATAAATATTTAAAATCTAAAAACTTCAGGGGATCATAAGACTGAGTAGAAATTTGATTCTTCAAAGCAAGTATTGCTTTACTATTGTCATTAATCCAGTCAATAATATGACCAATAATCTGCAGTGGTAAACGGAACGCTTGCTGAGTTGCTTTTTAAAAGATGTTTGGGTGATGTCAGTCCAAGAAGAATATGTTATTGAACTGCGTTGCACAAAGTTTCTTTACCTCTTCTGCAAAAAGAACAGAAAACAGTGAGTACGGAATAGTGATTTTTACTTAAAGGTTGCATGATACATATCAGATACCTTAAATTCTTCTGAATAAAGTTGGGAATAAATACATTGTCTGCATTAATTGTGACCTTCAATCTCAGAAGCCTAGGTAAGAAATGTTAATAAGCGGAGAGAAAGCAAAGTCTAACATACCCACAAGACTTCATACTGGGCCGGCTGAGAGGCGCGATGGTTAAGAACTGGCTTAGGACACCAGAGGGCCCCGGTTCGGATCCCACATATGAGGGCCAGTGACACTGCCCTCTACAGCTAAGATGCTGAACAACAGCTCAACCTGGAGCTGGGCTGCCGTGAGTCGCCGGCGACGGCATAGGCTGCAGCCCCTGCTGCAGTGGGCTGCCATGCGCTACCGGGCGTAGCCAGCAGCCGCAATGAGCGGCCGTCCAGCAGCCGGCGACTGATCTGCCTCACCTGGGAAGAGCGCAATGATGGTGCCAACTTGGGCCAGTGAAGCAATGTCCTCCACAACTAGACTGAAGAACAAAACGACAGCAACTTGTCTGTTCCCCTTCCCCCAATTCCCCAGCATTGTTCCCATCCCCCCAATTCCCCAATAAAAATCTTAAAAAAAAAAAAAAAAGACTTCATACTATGTGACACAGACAAACACTGCCTTAGTGGGTCTGAGAAAGCCCAAAGCCAGCACCCAAGGTGCCTAAGGCACCTCCAGGTTTGGGGGTTAGGAGCCCAGCTTCTAAAATCCTGAGAAATCTGATGCCGTGAAACAAACTCGGGCTACAACCTTGAACTGGAGATCAGTGCTCCATACAGGCATCGTTATCTCGACACAATTCCCATTGTAACGAGGCATGTCTTTCCTGATGTTTCTGACACACACAACTAGTAACATAAATATTAACAAAAAAGAAATTTAATATGCCCTAGAAGATCCATGCAGAAAAAAACCCCTAACTTTTCATACAGGTGGCACTTGGGGTGCATGCCCCCAACTGTCCACTCCTTGCAGAGCAGCAAAGGAGCCCGATGCCCTGAAGGTGACACTACCCTTTCCTCCAGGGCAACAAACATCAGATCAGTCAAAGCAGCTGTTCGGGTCACATGTGCAGAGGAAAGGAGAAGGAAACGTCTACATCATTACTTGCTTGTGCAGACAGACAGACATGGCTGTAAACTGTCATATGAACCTGGCCACTCTGCACCAAAATGTGTAATCTTAGTCCAGGAAATAAAAATGGCCTTTTTATACACAGTGTATAAACTTATGGGACTTTTTTCCCTTTAGCACAGTAAAAACTAATTTTATTTTGGCCATTTCCAAGTTTCCTGTGATACAGGAAAGTTTTTCACATACTTGTCGAGGAACTAAGCTAGAGACAGACACAGAATGGATCACATGGTGGTTTCCTTTAAGCAACAGGGGCATCTGCTTAAAATCTCAGCAGTCACAACATTCTGTTTAGTATGTTTCTTAGTAGACTGAAAAGACAGTTTTTAAACATTAGTAGCGTTAAAATTCTGCTCAAATACCAAATCCTATTTACCATTTACTTCAATCAGGTTTGCATTTTTTTGATTCAAAATAACATATAGCTCCCGCTGGTCAGACTTTTTCCCAACAACCCAATAATCACTCAGCGCTTTCACGATGATTTCTTCATCTTCATCCACTCTGTAAGACAAGGGTTTCAAAATGCAGTAGTTTATTATAAATACAGCCACATTGTGAAAAAAATCTAAAACAAAACCAGGAAGCTTTAATCATTTAAAAAGTGCAGGGAGTCACGTGTGAGTGACCAGTGACTTCTGGGCTTAATGATCTGTTTGGAAGTGGCCTCCAGCAAGGCGGTCAAGCGTGAGCCCCTCCTAAGGGGCTCTGGGTCACATGGTTTGGAAGATGATTCTTAATGTCTCTTCTCTTATTACCAAAGGGGCACCTAATTTGAGAGGTGGCCAGAATTACCTAGTAAAATCACTGTTGATGTCACCCAGAATCTTCATTAAATCCGGGTGGACTGATATAAGCGATGCACTGGGTGTTTTCCTCATGTGAATTGTACTTTTCTCTGCTAAGTTCATATGGTTGAAGTAGATAAACTTAAACTGGGGTTCTTTTTCAGACCTGTGAAAACATATTAAAATAGTAACATTCTGAAAGAATAGTTATCCAAACTATGTAACGACATTGTTAACACTTGAAATCCTCCAGGCTAAACCTTGTACTTGCAGTGGTTGGGCCTTCAAATCAAGAATCTATTAAATGTAACAGGCTCCTCATTCATCAGTAACTTACTTGATATTCGTGCGGTATTCAATATGATGGAATTTTCCAGAGAGCTGAAGTAAATTTTTTAAAAATAAAAAATATTTTAACCATTTTGTGATAATTTTCTCAAAAGTATAATGTTTTATAAATGGCAATCACTTGGTTATTCCATGAAGTTTTTTTAAATGCAAACTTAATCAGTCCAGGCCATTTATCATCTAGTGGAAGGGTCAGCAAACTCTGGCCTGGGGACCACACCTGGCCCTGTTTTTCTAAAGTTTTCCTGGAACTGCCACACACATATGTTTATGTGCTGTCTATGGCTGCTTTCACACTTAAACAATAGTTGAGTAGTTGCAACAGACACAGTCCACAAGGTCTAAAATACTTATTATTTGGTCCATTGTGGAAGTCTGCCGACCCGTTTTAGACGAGTAACATCTTATTGATCCTACAGTATTGGGAAACGAATGCATTCCATATATTTAATGTGCCACAGAACTGGAAGTAACAAAGCATTTCATCATCCTAAATGGAGATCATTCTAAACCATAGTAGCCTTTTCTGCCCAAGTGAAATGACTATTTTAATTGGGATACAGCTTTTGTGATTTTGAATGACTGGGCCTCCTGGGTCAGAGCCTGCAACTCCTCAGGGAACCACGCAGACAGCTTGGCCATGGGCTCCCAGGGCCTCCCCTCGAGGCCTCACCTCTCACTGTGCCTTTACTGAAGTCACAGTATGGGGTCTGGGTGACAGCCTGAGTGGCCCTACCACTGCGGGGCTCAGGGCTCGCAGCCATGTTCAGGAGGGCTGAGGGTACTGGAAATCCGACCTCCGGATAAGTGGGTTACTACTGTAATACTTTAGATCTAGGCAAAGAAAGAATGTGGATGATTCAGTTTCCAGGAAAACGAAAAGAGAATTCTTATAAAACCGGAATTTCTTTAGTAGGGCTCTGAAACTAAGAGAAGTATAATTACAAGAAAAACTAGAAAGATGAAAAATTTTAAACGATGTTTGGAAAGAGTTGTAAATTTAGTTGTCTGGGTAATTTCCAATATTTATATTTCTGACTAAAAATTAAGAACATAAATTACTCTCAAAAAAGAAAAAACTTAAGGTGCTGGACAGCAAGTTTACCTCTGGATAGCTGTTGATGTGTTACCTGAAACCCATCACACCTACCGAAAGCACAGACAGAACAGCTAACACCCAGTAATCTCCCGGGGCCTGGGGACGCAGGTAACCACACTTTATTACTCTCTACTCATAACACGCATGACCCAAAACAGATGCAACTCACTGCCTCCTTCCAAAACAGAAAATCGGGCAGTTTCATGGTAAAAAAAATTAAATAAAAATAAAAAGATTAATAAGCAGCACTGTGAAGCTGTAAGTTGGTCAGGCACTGTCCTTGGTAGTATCTTTTTCAAAACGAAGAAAGCTGCCAACAGCAACAGCCACACACAGAACCTAATGTACTTGCACTGGGACCT